CTCTGGACAGTGAGAAGGATGTGGGCTCGGTGGTCAGATGGATGACCTGGGTTTGAAACTTGGCTCTGCTACTTATTTAACTTGTAACCTTTGGCCCAATTACTTAAGCTCTCTGGTCCTCTGTTTTTCACTCTAGAGAATGGGAAGAGCTAATGGTAGCTGCCCAGTGGAGATGTTGTAAGGGGGGAAGATTTGTCCTTGAGGCTTTCAGTGAATGAGTTTCCTTCTGCTTTTTTTTTTTTGCCCAAATCACCCAGCTAAGTGGTGGTCAAATCAACTAGGACCTTTGACTTCTTGCTGGAGATGGGGAGCTGGACCCAGGAGGTAGGCACTGAGCACTGAGGTCTGGCCCCTCTGCCTCATGTCTTCCCCTCTCTTCCAGGTCCTGGGGAGTCAGAGAAGGTGCAGCAGCTGGAGGAGCAGGTACAGAGCCTGACAAAGGAGCTGCAGGGCCTTCGGGGCGTCCTGCAAGGACTGAGTGGGCGCCTGGTGGAAGACGTCCAGAAGGCTGTGGAGACGGCCTTCAATGGGAGGCAGCAGCCAGCAGATGCAGCTGCCCGCCCTGGTGTACACGAAACCCTCAATGAGATCCAGCAGCAGCTGCAGCAACTGGACAAGCGTGTCTCCACCCACGACCAGGAGCTGGGCCATCTCAACAACCATCAGGGTGGTGGTGGCGGCGGAGCCCTGGACCCAGCCCCAGCCCCTTCAGGCCACAACGAGGAGCTGCTGCGGGAGCTGGAGCAACGGCTGCAGGAGTCCTGCTCCGTGTGCCTGGCGGGGCTTGATGGCTTCCGCAGACAGCAGCAGGAGGACAGGGAGCGACTTCGAAGACTGGAGAAGATGCTAGAGGAGCGGCAGCGGCAGCTCCCTGGGCAGGCTGTGGGCCGCAGGCCCCCTCAGGAGTGCTGCCCTCCGGAGCTGGGCCGGCGACTGGCAGAGCTGGAGCGGAGGCTAGAGGTCGTGGCAGGTTCAGTGACAGTGCTGAGTGGGCGGAGAGGCACTGAGCTGGAAGGTGCAGCAGGGCAGGGGGGCCATCCCCCAGGCTACACCAGCTTAGCATCTCGCCTCTCCCGCTTGGAGGACCGGTTCAACTCTACCCTGGGTCCCTCGCCGGAGCAGGAGGAGAGCTGGCCGGGGCGTCCTGGGGGACTGAGCCACTGGCTGCCTGCTGCCCGGGGCCAACTAGAGAAGCTGGAGGGGCTGCTGGCCAATGTGAGCGGGGAGCTGGGTGGGCGGCTGGACCTGCTAGAGGAGCAGGTGGCAGGGGCTGTGCAGGCATGTGGGCAGCTCTGCTCTGGGGCCCTGGGAGAGAAGGACTCCCAGGTCAGTGAGATCCTCAGTGCCTTGGAGCGCAGGGTGCTGGACAGTGAGGGACAGCTGAGGCTGGTGATCTCTGGCCTGCACAAGGTGGGAGCAGCTGGGGAGGCCCAGCAGGCCACGCTGCAGGGATTACAAGGGGTCATAGGCCAGCTCCAGGGTCGTGTTGATGCTCAGGATGAGGCAGCTGCAGAATTCACACTTCAGCTGAATCTCACAGCAGCACGGTTGGGCCAACTAGAGGGTCTGCTGCAGGCCCGTGGGGATGAGGGCTGTGGGGCCTGCGGTGGTGTCCAAGAGGAACTGGGCCGCCTTCGGGATGGCGTGGAGCGCTGCTCCTGCCCCCTGCTACCTCCACGGGGCCCGGGGGCTGGCCCGGGTGTTGGGGGGCCAAGCCGTGGGCCTCTGGATGGCTTCAGTGTGTTTGGGGGCAGCTCAGGCTCAGCCCTACAGGCCCTGCAAGGAGAACTTTCCGAAGTTATTCTCACCTTCAGCTCCCTCAATGACTCACTGCATGAGCTCCAGACCACCGTGGAGGGCCAGGGTGCTGATCTGGCTGACCTGGGAGCCACCAAGGACCGCATCATCTCTGAGATTAACAGGCTGCAGCAGGAGGCCACAGAACACGTTATGGAGAGTGAGGAGCGCTTCCGAGGCCTGGAGGAGGGACAGGCACAGGCTGGCCAGTGCCCCAGCCTAGAGGGGCGACTGGGCCGTCTGGAGGGAGTCTGTGAGCGGTTGGACACAGTGGCCGGGGGACTGCAGGGCCTACGAGAGGGCCTTTCCAGACATGTGGCTGGGCTCTGGGCTGGGCTACGGGAAACCAACAGCACCAGCCAGACACACGCAGCCCTGCTGGAGAAGCTGCTGGGGGGGCAAGCAGGCCTGGGCAGGCGGCTCGGCGCCCTGAACAGCTCACTGCTGCTCCTGGAGGACCGGCTTCACCAGCTCAGCCTGAAGGACCTCACTGGTGAGGGGGCAAGAGGAGGCCTGGGGTGGTGGGATATGGGGGGGACCCCTTTCAAGTCCTTCCTCCATCCCTCACAACAGCTCAGTCTTAACCTCATCTACTTTTTCTTTGCTCTGCCCAGCATGAATTGCAGATCCATCACTGCCCCAAGGGTTGGTTTATCCATGAGGTGATCCAAGGTCCCAGCTCCCCGCCCTCCCTGGCGGCTCAGACAGGGCTGTGGGTGGAGGTGGGGTGCTACTCTGCCAGCCAGGTATCCAGCACGGGCAGCAAGGGATCCCATCAACCTGTCCATGGAGCCGACACCCTCTTTGTCCTTTGGAAACTCCTTTTATGGCTCTCCTTCAGCGAACTTTTGTCATTGTAGGGCCTGCAGGTGAGGCTGGGCCCCCAGGGCCTCCTGGACTACAAGGACTCCCAGGCCCTCCTGGACCTCCGGGACCTCCAGGCAAGGATGGACAAAAGGGGCCTATCGGGCCACCAGGTATGTGGGGGTGAGATCCTTGCCACAGCCTGGGTTACCGCCTCTCTAGGCAGCCCCAGGTTTGGCATTCCCCTCTAAACTTGACAGGGAAGGGGGGAAAGGGGCGAGGAATTGGGGGTCCCAGATGGCTGATAGTGATTAGGAAAGTGACTAGGAGCTGGGGCAGTCACTGTGTTGGCTAATTGCATATAGTGGCCTCACTGCTGTATTGAAGACCAAGGATGAGCCTACAAGGGTTGTGTTGGGTGTGAAAAGCTGGGGGCTAAGGGCATAGGCCCAGCAGTTGAACAGCGTGGATCTGTTCCTCCTTTCCTTGGTACCCCACTCCTGCCTTGAAGCCTGTATAGCACCTAGCACAGCGCGGCAGGCTCAGCAGATGCTTGCTGGGTGCAGCGCTGCTCTCTCACTGTCCTCTTTCCTCTTCTCACAGGTCCCCAGGGTGAGCAGGGTAAGTTCTCGTTTGATGCTGGAGGGAGTGGACTTGAACTAGGGGTTGGAGGATGGAAGGCCTCAGGCAGCCCTGGGGGTAGAGACTCCAGAGGGGAAGGAGGCTGGGCAGCTCTGCACTGGGCGTCTACTCTGACACCCATCCTACCCCCATGCAGGAGTGGAGGGGGCACCAGCAGTCTCTGTGCCCCGGGTGGCCTTTTCAGCTGCCCTGAGTTTGCCCAGGTCCGAACCAGGCACGGTGCCCTTCGACAGAGTACTGCTCAATGATGGGGACTACTATGATCCAGAGACAGGTAAGCCTGGGAGGGGGCTGGCTGGGCACTGGGGGAAATGGTGGGGGGAGAACCCATGGAGAGGCTATCCAGTGATATGTTCTCATTCTTGCCCCTTTAGACAAGGTGAATCTTTTCATGCTCTGATTTGGGGAGAGCCCTATTCTTTCCTTCACTTACCCAATCTCACCACTGCTTGAGGGAGGAGTCATTCGTTCAACAGCTTTTTATTGGGAGCCTGCTCTTGCCCAGGCACTATTTTGAGTGCTGGGGATGCGGTAATGAACAAAACACCAAATCCCCCGCCCTTGTGGAACTTACCCTCTCGTGGAAGAGAGGTGAAAAGACCCAGCAGGTCCTTCCCTAGTCCAGGAGCTCTGGGTTCCGAAGTCTTCCCTGCCCCTGCCACCTGTCTCTCTTCCTGACTGCCATCCTTGTCCCCAGGCGTGTTCACAGCGCCACTGGCCGGACGCTACTTGCTGAGCGCGGTGCTGACTGGGCACCGGCACGAAAAAGTGGAGGCTGTACTGTCCCGCTCCAACCTGGGCGTGGCACGCATAGACTCCGGTGGCTACGAGCCTGAGGGCCTGGAGAATAAGCCGGTGGCCGAAAGCCAGCCCAGCCCAGGCGCCCTGGGCGTCTTCAGCCTCATCCTTCCGCTGCAGGCCGGGGACACGGTCTGCATCGACCTGGTCATGGGGCAGCTGGCGCATTCGGAGGAGCCACTCACTATCTTCAGTGGAGCCCTGCTCTACGGGGACCTGGAGCTAGAACAGGCGTAGACAAGAGGCTGGCCCGACCGGCCGGAAGTGTCTAGGCCTGCCAAAGAGCCATCTGGGGCAGCAGGATCCCCGCCCGGGGCTGGGCACTGTCCCGGCACCCCAGCCCCAGGCGAATCGCTGTCTCCAAACCCGACGCTGCAAAGGCGGCCAAAGCGGCTTCCTCCCCACTAACGGAGCGCGTCAGGTTGGGGTCTCCAGAGTGCCCTCGTGCAGACTTGTGGCCCGATCGCTGTCCCTTGCAAGACCCGGACTGCGGAGGAGCAGTCCCTGGTGCCCTAGAAGCTTCCCCAACTGGCTTCTAGGCCGAGTCCCTGGGTTCCAGGGCTCTACCGAGGGTGCTCCGGACCCCATCGCCATACTAAACTATTCAGGAATAAAGACACTTGGTTTTTATAAAAAACAGGACAAAACAAAACACACCGTCTGCTTCAGTATGTTCACGGGTACATAGGAATACACAGGGTTCTGCGCGGGATAGCCCTGCCGGTACCTGCTCTGGATGCGCGGGCCACTGGGTGCGTCTGCGGTTTACAGTCCCAGCGGGACCCTCTTCCCAGTCACGCCTGTTCCACCAGTGCCCGCCAGGGGGCGCCAAGCGCCATCCACCGTCACGTGACCGGCGTCGCTCACCTTGCGGGCCCCAGCGCGGAGGCGGGGCCTCGGGCTGGGATTGGCTGGGCCTCCGGGGCCCGACCGAGCAGCAGAGCGTCGGTTTGCCGCGACCGGCCGTGGCTGCGAGGCCGGCTCAAACCCGCGGTCTGTCGTGTGGAGTGGCAGCCGCTGCTGCAGGAGAGGGCGGGGCAAGGGGCACCTTTCTACTGCACTTTCTTTTTGCATTTATGAGATTGCCTCGCCGTGCTTGAGAGGGGTTTGCATTAGCTCCGAGTCCGTCCGCCAAATGAGGAAACTGAGGCCGAGAAGCGGGAGGCGTTGCCATCTGCTGGGCCACGCAACCTGCTAAAGAGAGGCTGGGGACCAAGGCCTCGGGGTCTGCGCCCCCAGGACCGCTTGCGTCGGTGAGCGTGGGAGACGAGGGCCCCGCAGCGTTCTGTGCACTCCTCTGCATCCCTGCCGCTGCAGGAGGCTCCCTGGAGGAGGAGCTCGGGACGCGAAGGAGGAGCCAGGGCAGCCCCGGGCAGCGGGAACTCAGTCCTACGGGATAAAAGTCGGAGCTCGGGACGAACCCCAGCAGCCCGGCGGGCAGAAAGCTCCGGGGGCGCCCTCATGGAAGAGAAGCAGATCCTGTGCGTGGGGCTGGTGGTGCTGGACATCATCAATGTGGTGGACAAGTACCCGGAGGAGGACACGGACAGCAGGTAGGGGCGCTCGGGCCCCTCGGAGACCCCGGGGGCCGCTCCAGCCCTGCGTGTGTGCCTGGCAGCCAAGACTACGGGGCTGGGGCCGTGAGAGTTCATCGGAAGCCTGTGCCCCGTGCCCTCTGTCTGGGACCTGGGGAAAGAATTGAGTCCTTTAGTGATATGACTCAGGCTTCGAATAGCATTGCGCTCGCCAGTTCCCATTTCAACCCTGGGACTGTGTCAGGCATGATTATCCCCATTTAACCCATAAGCAAGTAGAGACTCAGAGAGGAAGAGATTTATCCTAGGGTACACAGCTAGTCAGGTGCAGGACCAGTTTTTGTTGTTGTGTTTTCAACAACAAGACCTGTGCACTTGCCTCTCACCAGCATTTACTCCCCCCCACCCCCACCCCCAGCCAAACCGGCCAAGGCAGCATTTACTTATAATTGATTATATATATATATATATATAATCTCAGCTATTTCTTTAAAGAAATTGAGGGAGTTTACAATAAGAAGTATGTGTGGTTAGTTAGACTGGTCAGAAACATTCAAAGCCATGCTATTTGAGCTACACTATTACTCCGGGCTTCCTGGCACTGGAGGGACCTTTGGAGGTGCTGTGGATAGTGAACAGAGCTGGTTCATGTACCAGGCCAGACTTGTCCCTGGTGTTAAATTCTGAAAGGAATTTATTTGTTTGGTGGAAGTTGAAGAGTCATTTGTTGGTTGTTATATTTACTCTTGATAAGAACTACACTGTTATACTGTAATCCCAAGAAAGCATTTCTGTGGGTGGAATCCAGGGCTTTCTCCTGGGACAGTCCAGTGCTCGGAATACTGAGCAGAATTGCTCCTTGGCTATCAGTTGTCTCAGCCAAGAACTGGATAAAAGGACGGTTCAAGGCTGAGCTCAGCAACACACTGCAGTGCTGATAGCCATGAGACTCACTGAGAGGAGACCAGGCATCCTCAGGCTTTGGGTCCATCCAGCACTGTCATGTGTTATCACACTTTCCTCACAGCAGCCCATGGGAAATGTATAAAGATCAGTCAAACCGTTTCTTTATAGATGAGGAAGTTGTGAAGAAATTAAATGATTTGTGCAAGGCAGTGTGGTTAATGAGTGGCAGAGCAGTAATCACAACCCAACCCCCCGAGTCTAGTACTCCAGCCCTCATTCAGCACAGTCATTTCTTGTGCTCCCTGTCCCATTGCTGATGCCCATCTCATGGAGATGACCCTTGATTTGGGCTGCTCTGTTTGCCAGGGGTGCAAGGGCAGTGGGGGAGAAGCACAAGGGTGTACCCACTCATCCAGGTTGAGACAGCCCTGGACACAGCACAGTGAGGAGTTGGGCTTCCTTGCAGAACAGTGCACATTCCGGAGCCACAGGTCCTCCAAGGACTGGCAGACCGAGGAAGACCCAGAGTGCCTCTTTGGACTAGAGCGGGAGCCCCATCGGGATCCTGCCACCCTGACTGGGCTGGTTCCAAAGGCTGGCACTTAGTGAGGTGCCTCTTTGAGAGACCTTTTCCATATTTTCCATGCCCCTTGCTCTTCAGGGTGTACCTCCCTGTCCCCCAGACCACGGTTCTGCTGTTCTGCACAGCACTTTGTTTGTCCTAAGGGCCTCTCCCCTGTGCTCCCACCCCACCCATCCCAGCTCCTGGACTCTGTTGTACCTCCCAGACGAGCAAACCGGAGTGGGGACCCAGTCCTTCCCAGTCATCTCAGCCTCACCTGTCCCGGGCTCTCTGTGCTCCACGGGCAGCTGGGGACTCTCAGGAGCTGCCACCTGGTACTCAGCCAGAGCCCTGAGGAATGGCCCTGCCTCCCAGGTCCAGGCGGAGAAGAGCCTTCCAGAGAGCATCCCCATGTTCAGCAGATCCTTTCTGCACATAAAGTTGTGTATCGGTGTGACCTCGAAGAGTTTCCACAGAGTAAAACTGTGTATTCTTTCTTTGAAACCTCATCCAAGATGGGGTCTAACTACTTTCTATTAAAAAATACAGAGCACATTGCAGTGGTTTGGGAGTCAGAAACCTGGGTTCTGATATCGGCTTTGTCATTAACTATTGGTGTGATTCTGAGCAAGTCAGATACCCTTAGGCTCCTCTCTTCTTTGCTTGAAAATGTCTCTAAAGCTCATAGCTTGAGAAACGTGTGACCTTTTACAAATTAGTATCCTTCTTTCTTTTTTTTTTTAATCCTCACCCAAGGACACTTTTGCATTTATCTTCAGATAGAGCAGGAGGGAGAGAGGGAGGAAGAGAGAGAGAGAAACATCCATGTGAGAGAAACACATGGAGTGGTTGCCACCCATGGTGACCCCAACCGGGGCCGGGAACAAACTGCAACCGAGGTACATGCCCCTAGCGGGAACTGAACCCAGAACTCCTGGTCTGTGGGCAGATGCTCTAACTACTGAGCAACACCAGCCAGGGCAGTATCCTTCTTTCTAATGAGATCATGGTCCCCTTTCCCAAGGCTGAAGGGAAGTTCCATGTTAAGTTTTGTGTACAAATAAACCTTTGTCTAAAAATTCTGCTGCGTTTATTCCCCTTAATTAGTGATTCTTTGGTACTTGTTCCACAGTTACTATTATTCTTTTGGAACTGGGAGACAAGAAATAGCAGCCTGCACTGTTTACCTCACAGTATTATTGGAGCACAAATGAGAAATTCAAGTTTTTTTACTATTATGCATAAGATACCATTTTTGTTCTTGACGATGACATTGAAGCCATACAGGTGTATTTTGAGTTAGTTTCCTCTTGTTAGACTTTCAATAAAGATGGAGAAAAAAAAGAAAGAAAAAAAACGTAACTATGTGAAGTGATGAATGTGTCAACTAACCTTATTATGGTAATCATTTCTCAATAAATATGTGTATCTAATCACATTGTGCTTCTTAAAGTTACAGAATGTTATATGTCGATTACATTTTAATAAAGCTGAAGAAAGGAAAACGAACAAAAGAGATGGAGGAAAAACTGGTCTTCACCCAATAATCTTTTTAACTTTTGACATCGTAAAAGTTAGCTTCCCTTCCTCTTACATGATCACAGTGTCCAGGTTCACTTCCTGTCCTAGTCAGTTTTACCTGAGTTACTACTGAAGTGGTCTTTTTTTTTATCCTCACCCGAGGACACTTTTCCACTTTTTGTTCAGATAGAGTGGGAGGGAGGGAGAGAGAGGAAGAGAGAGAGAGAGAAACATCGAAGTGAAAGGGACACATCGAGTGGCTGCCACCTGCACGACCAACCAGGGCTGGGGACAAACTGCAACCGAGGTACATGCCCTTAGCGGGAACCGAACCCGGGTCTCTCTGGACCGCAGGCCGATGCTCCAACCGCTGAGCCAAACCGACCAGGGCTGAAGTGGCTTTCTTAAGACAGGAGCAGGTAATACATTTAATACCTGTGGGAAGTGGCACTTGGAGTTATCCAGAGTTCAAGGGGAGGCTGAAGGGACAGCAGCTCTACCTGGGGAAGAGGTGGGCCATTGTAATTGAGGAGGGGCTAGCCCAGAGGGAGTGGAAGCCTCAAATTGTAATGGACCTGAGTGAGTGGTTTCCTGATGTCATAAAAGTAGAAATTAATTGTGAACGTGAGTTTAGCCTTGGCCGGGAGACAGACCTGGTCTTCAGCCAAGCCACTACCCTTTGCTGAGCCTTAGCTGCCCTTCTAGAAAATGAGCGGACGGCCTGAGTGCTTTCTTAACTTTTTTTTCGAACTTTTATTTATTTATTTATTTTCATCCTCACCCAAGGATATTTTTCCATTAATTTTTAGATAGAGTAGAAGGGAGGGAGGGAGGGAGGGAGGGAGGGAGGGAGGGAGGGAGAGAGAGAGAGAGAGAGAGAGAGAGAGAAACATTGATGTGAGGGAGACACATTGATTGGTTGCCTCCTTCGTGACCCCAGCTGGGGCCAGGGATTGAACCTGCAACCAAGGTACATGCCCTTGACCGGGAACTGAACCCTCAAGTCTGGTCTGCGGGCCGACGCTCTAACCGCTGAGCCAAACCGGCTAGGGTTCAACCTTTATTGATTTTAGAGAGAGAGGAAAGGAGAAAGAAAGAGAGGGAAACACGGATTATTGTTCCACTTATTTCTGTATGCATTGGTTGATTCTTGTATGTCCCCTGACTTGGCTCAAACTCGTAACCTTGGCACACCAGGACGATGCTCTAATCAACTGAGCTACCCGGTCAGGGCCTGGCCTGGCTGATTTCTCAGGGAGTTCTCCTAGCTATTACATTCTGTGGGCCCTACCCAGGGCACTGTGCTCAGCCCTGCTTATCCCAGAATGAGCCTGCTGGAGCTGCAGGGACCCTCCTTCTGTTTTACAGGTGCTTGTCTCAGAGATGGCAGCGTGGGGGCAATGCCTCCAACTCCTGCACTGTTCTCTCCCTGCTCGGAGCCCCCTGTGCCTTCATGGGCTCACTGGCCCCGGGCCATGTTGCTGAGTGAGTTGAGGAGGGAGCCGGGGAGGCCTGCCCGCAGGGTGGGGGAAAAGGCAATTTTGACCCTGGACCGGTGGGCTGTAAGAAATGGTTGTCACCACCAGAAATGGGTGGGAGGGGACAGAATGGGGGACCAGCATCCCAGAGCCTCCCTGGTGTGGCTTATCTGCTGCTCAGATATTAACACTGCTCCTGTTAAAGGTTTCATTTCCACAGCCTCGTTCCTTGGCCATTCCCTGGAGTCTGCTTCAGCTTCCCCACCTTCTCCTTCCTGCACCCACAGACTGCAGTGGATGTGACTTTGCCCTTCTTAAATCCCTAATCCTGGCTGTGCTTGAGGCGGAGGCAGTTAGGGCCATGTTGTACCCATCCTCCCTCAGGGCTGTCCAGCATCCATGGTCCAAGGGTCCAGGCTCACAGTTTCTTTCCCGGTTAAGGGGGCAGGGCCAGTGTGCTCATGTCCCCATTGTTCCCTGAAGAAGCAAGAGCACCCTGGCCAAGGACGTCCCGGAGCCACATGCTAAAGCTGGGCCCAGATCCATGCCTCCCCGCTCATCGGCTGTGAGGCTGCAGCCCGTAAGTGGCCCACATGCTCTTGGTGTTAGCTGCTGCAGGGACCCAAGAACCCTTTGACCCCTGGCATTGCCGACTCAGCAAGTGTTTATCAGGAGGTGAGGCCCACACTTTGCCCACTGTGGGCACTGGGGCAGGCTCCAGGTTGCAGGCCTGTGAAGCACAGCCCTTTGAACCCTGGTTTGGGGGGGCTGCTGCGAGAGCCCAGCCCCCTGAGCCACAGGCAGATTCCTTTCCTCAACGAACTGGCATGAAGCAAATCGGGGTGAGAGCCAGCCCTGTGAGGTGGGACAGAGGGACCCAGAGCCAACAGCTGGTCACTCAGTAACCCTCTGCAGCAGCTGCCTTCCCTCCCCATGAGAGGCAAGACTGGCTCTTGCTTAGGGTAGTGGACCGACCTGTACGTAGCAGTCATGCTGATGGGTGGGGCATTCTGAATTCTCCTCATGTGTTCAACAAACATTTAATGAGCACCTACCCTGTGCCAGGCACTGCAGACACAAAAAGTTATTTGGAAAACCAAACCATATTTCCTATGCTATGGAAAAGCTACTGTTTAAAGGATCCTTGAACACTTACCTGGCAGGGGAGACACCATGATCACGAAGGTGGTTTTCCCAGGGCGAGGCTTATTCATTGCACTCCGGATGTGCTCACCCCTGCGATTTCCCCAAATGTGGGAAACTCGACTGCACAATTTGTGGTAGTGAGGGACTGCGTTCGCACTCTCCCCTGGCAAAAATAATAAAACTAAAAAATAAAGGATCCTTGAGGTGTAAGACAAAGATCAATGTCCTGACTTGGTGTGTGTATTACATGCCATTGAGTCGGCTCCAACTTCTGGCGACCCACTGTGATGTCCACAGTGTCCTGTCCTCAACAGCCCTGCTCAGCTCCTGTGGCTTTTATGGAGTCAATCCACCTCCTATTTGGCCTTCCTCTTTTCCTGCTGCCTTCTGTTTTTCCTAGCGTTATTGTCTTTTCACCTTTACACAAATCTGTATTGTCCAGCTTTGGTGCTGCCAGAAATGGGGTCTAGCCATAGTGAGAAAAGCCAGGATGATGGCCGGATGACTGGCGTAAGTGCCAGCTTTTGGGCACAGGAGACTGCATTTCCGGAGAAGGCCAGAGAGGGTAGGGCTGGCCTCCTTTTTCTTTCTTTCTTTCTTTTTTTATCCTCACCCGAGGACATTTTTCCATTTTTTTGTTCAGATAGAGTGGGAGGGAGAGAGAGGAAGAGAGAGAGAGAAACATCGACGTGAAAGGGACACATCAAGTGGCTGCCTCTAGCATGACCCAATTAGGGCCGGGGACAAAATGCAACCGAGGTACATGCCCTTAGTGAGAACCGAACCCGGGTCTCTCTGGACCGCAGGCCGACGCTCTAACCGCTGAGCCAAACCGGCCAGGCCAGGGCTGGCTTCCTTGTTCTCCTGCTGGTGCAGTCTTCCTGAGGGGCTGCCCCCAGCTCACTCTGATTGGAGGGGATTCTGGGCAGGAGGCCTGGACCAGGCCCACATGGAGGGCCATGAGGCCCTGGGAGCTGGCTCACTGCCCAGGAGGGTTCGCCTTGTTGCAAGAGGAGAGGGCAGTGAGCAGCCCCACCAAGGCAGCCACTTCCTGGCGGGGCATAATGGTGACAGGTGCAGGATGAGGACTCACTGTAGGACTGCAAGGGACTTAGGAGAGTGCCATGGGAATGAGTGTGCAGAGGGCAGCTGGGGGGCAAAGTATCACCTTGGTAATTATTAATTCTGCCTGGGTTTTGCATGAAACAGGCCACGGGGCCCTCACCTGCTTGTTAGCAGATCCTTTCCAGCTTGAGTCAAACTGAAGGACAGTGTCAGAGTTGGAGCTTGCTTCCTGCCAGGACCTAAAAGAATGTCCCGAAGTGTTTTTCTCACTGAGCTCCAGCCTATGCATTCCTGCCTCTCCCGCCTCCTTGCACAGCCCGTGACAAACGGTGATTTCTAGTTCCTTGCTAGCCCCCTCTGCTTGCACCCTGGGTCTCTAGTGGCCCTGCCAGCTACCTTCCAGTCCCCAAACCTTGTGGAACTGTGCCTCCCCTATCCCCCGGGTACTCCGCCTTGGCAGTTTTGTCCTGGATGACCTCCGCCGCTATTCCGTGGACCTACGCTACACGGTCTTTCAGACCACAGGCTCCGTCCCCATCTCCACAGTCATCGTCAATGAGGCCAGTGGTAGCCGCACCATCCTCCATGCCTACAGGTTTGTACACCTGTCTGCACCTTGCCAGCTGCTGCCGCCATCGCTGAACTCGCAGAACAGGACCCTTCTTCTCTTGGAAGAGGGGTGCTCGGCACCCACGTGCTCCAGCACCCTTCCCCACCCCTGTAGAAGGCCCAGGCCACTTGTAGGCTCTAATTTGTGTCTCATTGCCCTTCCCTCGGCTCGGGCTCCACCCCAAGTTTCCTGGTGACTGACTTCAGGCAACGGGGTGTGGACGTGTCTCAGGTGGCCTGGCAGAGCCAGGGAGAGACCCCATGCTCTTGCTGCATCGTCAACAACTCCAATGGCTCCCGTACCATTGTGCTCTATGACACGTAAGGCCCCCTGGCCTCGCCCTGCCACACCCACCAATCAGTTTCCTCTCTTGCCACCATGGGGGATCCCAATTGCCCACCCTCTGTGGCCTCTCTCTTTGTACCAGAAATTGTCCCCATGCCAAACTGCTCTGTGATTTCTGAATTGTTTTCAATTAGGGGAGAAGCGAGGTGGGAAGGGGTGAACTTTGCTCTGCCTGACAACTTGGCCTTTGTCAATACCAAGGATGGGCAGGCAAAATGTACAAAATGTAATTTATGATGTGATTCCTCCATAATCAGTCAATCAGCAGCCTGGGTTTGGGTGTGGGAATTTTTTCTGGGGTTAGAGGGATGGGAGATGCAATTCAAACCATCTTAAACCCCGAGGCGGGACCCAGTGGGATTTCCAGGGTCAGCATTGCCAGCCTGCAGCATGGCACCAAGGAGCTGGGGTTTGGGTGTTCAGAAAAGATGAGGCCCTGCAAAGGTCCCAGCACAATGAAGCCAGACAACACATCACACACCATTTGCAGCCATTGATGAAGGGGAACATTGGGTCAGCAGGTCAGGGTTATCTGATGTAATGCTAAACTATGGGGAGGGGGATCCCCGTAGGGTCCAAGCTACTGGGGAGAGGCCCTGTGGGCCCAGACCCTTCTCATCTCCTTCAGATTCCCTCTTGAAAAACCTCAGAGGTTTAGTTTACTGAGAACATAAAATGTGCCAAGTACTATGTTAGGACTGAGATGACCCACTCATCTGTCCTGGGGTTCAGGCCATCCCTACTGCCCAGCATGTCCCCTGGGCCTGGGGGAGAAGGACAGTCAATCTAGGACAAGTGGCCCCTGGGCTCTGTGGGTCCCAATGAAAGAGTGGGTGGGCATACATGCTACTGGCAGCATTCACATTGGGCAGTCCTAGGCATCTGCCCATTAAGCAACGACCTGTAGCAACTTTCGTCCAGGACAACATAGGTATTCACAGGAAGGGAAGCAGAAGAGCTCTGGGGAGATCTCTGAAGAGAAGTGTTTATTGCCTACTGGCCTCAGTCAAGGCATCTCCCACGCTTCATATTACTTCCAACCGACTGCAGCAGGCCTGAGGCTGGGGTCCTGGCCCCATTCCCCGCTGCGGAAGCAGCTTCGGAGAGGCCCAGGTCAAGCAGCTAGTTAAGTGGACGGAGGACTCAGCTTCGGAATACAGAGAAGACATGGACTGTGTGTAGGTCTCTGGCCCAGAAGGGTCAAGGCAGACCCTTGTGGGGTGTCCATACCCAAATTAGCCAAATAATTTATCATCAAGCACTAAACTTAACCTCACGGTTGCAACACGGAGCTGCAAACTCGGGACAGTGGTGCTGTCACTGCTGTGGTACCAGAAGTGAGTGGGACCAGACCCCAGCTCCAGGCTGAACAACCGTGGCCTTTGTAGTTTCCCAGGCCACTGCATGCTGGGAGCGATGTGCGCTACTGGCAAGGGGAATTCTGGGAATTGTAGTCCTTGGTGCTCAGGGCATTCTGGGAGATGTGGTCTCCAAGGTACACAGAAATTGGCTCCTTGACACGTGCTGCAGCTGAGTTTGCCTTTAGATAATTTCACAGCCTCAAACACAGGAAAGGGCACCCTAGCAAACTGCCTCCAGTCTCCTGTCTGGATGGAGCCAAGTGGGGCAAGGAGTGGTTGTGAGTTTAGCTTGGGACACTGTCCTGGAGCTGAGCCTCAGAAGCCTGTGCTGTAGACCAAGCTTCCTGCCATGCTTCAGTCAGGGCCATGCATGAAGACCCCAGCAGCCTGGTGGAGATCCTGGCCCTGGCCAACCTCACCATGCCACTTCTTCTCTGTCCTTTCCATCTTGTGACTTAGGAACCTGCCAGATGTCTCTGCTGTGGACTTTGAAAAGGTTGATCTGACTCGGTTCAAGTGGATCCACATTGAGGTAAGCCTTACCTGTTTTGAAGCGCTCAACATGCCAGCCCCTCTTCATGTTTTGCCTCTTTGGTTTCTTTGAACCATGAAGTGCCATAGAGATTAATAAATCTGATCCTCCTCAACCCCTTTCCATCCTACTTTATGTTTTTAGGTAGGAAACTAAGGCTCACAAAGATTGGGTGACTTACGATCACACAGTAGGATGTAGGCACCAGAAGCAGGATGCTGACTCTAGACAAAGTCCGCGCTGTCTGTGATACAGGCTGCCCTACCTCCTCCACACTGGCAGGATCCTGGCTGCGGAAGGCCTGACCCATTACTTCTGGGGAGGCAGACATGGGAGGGCCTGACCAGCTCCCAAATAAAGGGAACTAGAATCTTCATTGCAAAAGAAGTTTTGGAGTCTGAATGGGAGGAAACCCCAAGAAGTCCTGAGTTCGGATTCTAGCCCTGTCATTTAACTTATTGTAGGTCCTTAGGAAAACCTCTCTTTTATTCTTTGGTCTCCTCATCTATGAAATGGGAGGGCTGGTTGAGAAGGTCTTTCAGGTCCGTGGTAGCTCTGGAATTTTTAGATTGAAGATGGGGTTCCAGCCCAGCCTCCCCTATCCACCCTACCCCTCACCCAGAGTTTCAGCAGGAAGGGAAGAACGAGCCAGATTGGCTGGGCACTTCCCAGCTGGTCCTGAGCTGCGCTCGCCTGCCCCAGGGCCGGAATGCATCGGAGCAGGTGAAGATGCTGCAGCGGATAGAACAGCACAATGCCAGGCAGCCTCCAGAGCAGAAGATCCGCGTGTCTGTGGAGGTGGAGAAGCCGCGAGAGGAGCTGTTCCAGCTGCTTGGCTATGGAGACGTGGTGAGCGTCCCGTGCAGCTCTCCTTGCCTCATCCAGCTAATTTGGTTCTTAAAAGAAGCCTGAGCATTCCCTTGTTTCGCCTACCATGTCTGGAAAGGCTAGCTACTAATGATTTGGTGGAGTTGGCAGGAGGTGGACAAAGCAAAGAGGCTGACCCCCAACTTTGGGCTGTGGTGCAGGCCCCGGCAGTGGCCAAGGAGAGTTTCTCTATCCCAGTAGGTGCATAGGTATGATCAGGTACCCAGATGGCTTGGACAGGGTGAAGACAGCCAGCCACAGGGCATTCATTTGTGGAAGCATCTGCTCTCTGGGCCTCCCCAGTCTTTTTCTCTGTCAAGTGAGGGGATAGGACTGTTTTCTGAGGTGTCTTCTTTTTTTTTTTTTATCCTCACCTGAGGATATTTTTCCATTTTTTGTACAGATAGAGTGGGAGGGAGAGAGAGGAAGGGAGAGAGAGAGAGAAACATCGACGTGAAGGGACACATCGAGTGACTGCCACCCGCAGGACCAACCAGGGTCCGGGACAAACTGCAACCGAAGTACGTGCCCTTAGCGGGAACCGAACCCGGGTCTCTCCGGACCGCAGGCCGACGCTCTAACCGCTGAGCCAAACTGGCCAGGGCTGAGGTGTCTTCTAACTCTGGGGTGGGTGACAGGTTGTAGGAGCCTCTAGTGGAAACAGGAGGATGGGGAGGGGACTTGCACAAGCTGAATTTGAGCAAGGCGTGATGTAGATGGAGTCTGGTTGGCAGTCTTAGCATCATTGCGGAAGCTGGTTGGTCCTCAACCTTGGCTGCAGGTTAAAAGATATGGATGCTTGAGCCCCACCCCTGTTTGTTATTTGATTGGTAGGGGTGGAGCTTGGGCTGAGGTATTTGTCACCAAAAGTGTCTCCGGTGATTCTAATGTAGGGTTGGTATGGAGGAAGCTTTTGAGCTTCTACTCCTTTGTTTTTAAGATGAAAAAAAAAAACAGACCTAGAGGGCATAGTTGTATGAGGAAAACAAACCAAACAAAAATAAAAATGTGTCTGACATTTGGCAGTGGTAGATTTCACCCCAAGATGGCGCTCAAGGCTCGCTCTGGGTTTTCAATTGGGAGGAAATTCAGTGGTCATAGAGCAAATAGACCAGGGCATGTGTATCACAATTTACAGAGCTGTATTCTGGCATATCTTGAGCAAGTAAGAAAACGTGTTCCTGAGGGTCTGTGAAATGCTGTCTTGGGGACTGGGATGGCCACGCTGGAGGAGCAGAGCCATAACATGGGGGCAATGTAGGCTGCTGGTGGAGAGTGACTGGGCTGGGACTAGAGCCTCTCTTCCACTGTCCACAGGTGTTTGTCAGCAAAGATGTGGCCAAGCACTTGGGGTTCCAGTCCGCGGTGGAGGCCCTGAGGGGCTTGTATAATCGAGTGAGGAAAGGGTGAGCTGGGGGGGTTCAGGAAGAGTCGCTGTGGGAAGGGAGTGGGCTGGGACTCAGGGCCTGCCCTGGGGAGAGGGAATGAAGCTGGGGGCCAGGGGTGGGCTAACACCCAGCTAAGTAGAGGGTCTTGCAGGGCTATGCTTGTCTGTGCTTGGGCTGAGAAGGGCGCCGATGCCCTGGGCCCTGACGGAAAGCTGCTCCACTCCGATGCTTTCCCGCCGCCCCGGGTGGTGGATACTCTGGGGGCTGGAGACACTTTCAACGCCTCTGTCATCTTCAGCCTGTCCCAGGGTGAGTACCTCAGCAGGAGGCACAAGGCTGGAGCCCGCCCTGCCCAGAAGGCCGGGCTGATCCAGCTGTTTGTCCCTCTCTCCAGGAAAGAGCATGCAGGAGGCACTGAAGTTTGGCTGCCAGGTGGCTGGCAAGAAGTGTGGCTTGCAGGGCTTCGCTGGCATCGTGTGAGTGCCCTGTGGCAGGCGGCATCAGCTCACACCGCCTTGGTGGTCAATCACTGGCTGCAGTTGCCTTCTCCCCTCCATCCAGCCTGGTATCTGGACTGCCCTGCTCCTGGGCAGATGCCAGCCATGGGAGGGCTCTACCTGTATCCTGGCATCTCACACTGCAGAGCCATAGAGCAAATAAATCTCCTTTCCCCTTCCCCGGAGCCCACTTCCTCTGGCAGTCTGTTTGTCCTTGACGTCCAAACTGCTCTGCCTGGGCTTCCAGAGGCTTTGATACTGCATTTATTTCCATTCCCCCGATTCACCGCCTCACTCGAGCCCACAGGAAGGGCTGCCTAGGCCAGAGCGGCGGAAGTGCCAGGCTTGCGACCAGCTGCTCCCGTGGTGGAGGCCCAGTTCAGGGGTCGGTAGTGACCGGGGGCCTTCCTGGCTGCAGAGGACACAAACTGCTTGCACCCCAGGGAACCTTCCAAATAACCACAAATCCTGAGAAAAGCTCCTCTGGGCCCCTGTGCCGTCTCAAGACTCAGTTCCGGGGGCCGCCGGGGTGGCGCAGGCGAAGCCAACTTGACAGGCCAGCAGGCAGGGAGCCTGCTCTGTGGTTTGGTGGGGCCTTTGCAGTCCAAACATAGCTTCCCAGTGACCGCCCCAAAGCCTGAAAGCCCAACCCTGGGAGCCCCTTGTAGTTAAGGCGGTGCCTCGGCCACAAGTATGACCCGCGATACAGAGTGTCACTGGATCCAGGGCTGAGGGGAGCTGGGGCAGCGTGTGTGATGCCACATTCAGACCTGAATTCAGAGCTGCCTCCTTTGTTTTGTCCGTGGATTTTTTTTAGATTGAGTGGAAGGGAGGAAGGGAGATAGAGAAATATCCATGCGAGAGAGACAAATTGATTGGTTGCCTCTAGCGCGACCCCTGTGGGGGCAGGGACTGAACCCAGGTTCATGCCCTTGACCAGGAATTGAACTCACGACCCTTGGGTGTGTGGGCCAACGCTCTAACCGCTGAGACAAACCTGCCAGGGCCAGATATGGCTCTTCATCAGCTGTGGCATCTTGGGTACATTACTGAGCTCGATCTCCCTCAATTTCCTCATCCGTCAAATGGAGTTAATTCTGTCTGGTCATAGAATTATTGTGAGGATAAAATCATACAACATATAAAATGTCCAGCCTGGCCGGTTTGGCTCAGCAATTAGAGCGTCCGCCTGCGGACCCAAGGGTTGCAGGTTCATTCCCCAGCCCTGGTTGGGGTTATGCAGGTGACAACCAATCAATGTGTCTCTCTCACATCGATATTTTTCTCTCCCCACCCCTCTTCTTTCTATTCTATCTAAAAATCAATGGAAAAATATCCTCAGGTGAAGACTACATATATATATATACTACATATACACACACACACACACACACACACACACGTGTGTGTGTGTGTGTGTGTGTGTGTGTGTGTGTAGTGCCCAGTATAATGCTGGTGTGTACGAGGCTCTTGATAAATGGTAGCTACTGTTTATATTATGGGATGAGGGGGAGAAACAGGGTGATGGGGGAGATCTGCCCAGAGGTGCAGGAGGGAACTGGGTGTCTGAACACCATGTGAGGCGGGGATGTTTGAGCCCCGGGAGGCAGGGAGAACCCAAGCTCTCAGCACCAGCTGGGAACACTGGGGAAGCTGAATCCCTGTTATTCCTAGAGGCCTGTCCAGTCCCCAGTCTGCTGAATCCCTGTTATTCCAAGAGGCCTGTCCAGTCCCCAATCTGCTGAATCCCTGTTATTCCTAGAGGCCTGTCCAGTCCCCAATCTGCTGAATCCCTGTTATTCCTAGAGGCCTGTCCAGTCCCCAATCTGCTGCATCCCTGATCTGGCCAGGCTGGTCCAGTAGACAGATGGCCCAGGGGATGAGTTTATTCAGTTCTTTATTGGTTGTCTAGGCCCTAAAGCTGCCCTCAGCATAGGGTCTCCATGAGCTGCACAGAAAGACCTGCCACCTAAGGGGACCAGGAAAGAGACAGAGGTGGTCCTTATCCCAACATACTCTCCCACCCTTAGGAGCTTACATTCTGGCACTGAAACTTCTGGGGGTACAAACCTGTAGCCACAAAGTTTATATCTCATCATTCTCCAGTTGAACAGCATGAACCTCAAACTCATTTTGGGCATTCTTAGGTTCCAGTGTTTCCCCTGGAAGCTCTTCTGCATCCTTTCCAGTGTCCCTGGCCTCTGCCTGGCCCTCAGCCCCTCCTCCAGGGCCTGGAGCTTTGCCTCCAGCCTCTGCCTGGCCCTCAGCCTCCCCTCCGGGGCCTGGAGCTTTGCCTCCAGCCTCGGCCTGGCCCTCAGCCTCCCCTCCGGGGCCTGGAGCTTTGCCTCCAGCCTCCTGTACGGGCTCCAAGGCTTCTACCTGTCCCCCAGCTTCTCTGGGACCCAGGGCTTCCTGTGCTTCTTGTCGGGACGGGCTTCCTAACAAGGACTGCCTCCTGGAATCTTGTGGCTCCGGGGGCTCTTTGTGCTCCGAGCGCCTTGGGGCCTGTCCTGGGAAGTTGATGAGCTCTGCAGGGGTCATGAGCCCATCTCCATTCAGGTCCTGGGTCTCGAGCACCTTGTCCACTACCAGGATCACCTGTGGAAGCACACAGTTGCTGTGGGGTCTAGTGACCAGAGATATTTCCCAGAGCCCTGACCCTCCCAACACCCCTGCCCCCATCTCTGCCATGCAGGCCTTGAGCATTCCTGGGGATTCACTAAAAGAGTCATGATGAAAAAGACCAAAGCCCCAAGGATCTGGGTCTCCTTCACAGCAAAAGGGCTTACTGGGTTAGTGGTGGGAGAGTCAGCAGCTCCAGGGGCTAGAGCTGCTGTCAACATGGACAACAGCTCCAGGCCATCCAGCTGTCCACTCTGGTCATAGTCGTGGAGGGCAAAGAGGTAGAGCAGAACTAAGGAAAAGAAGCTGGATCAGAAGAGGCGTCACCTCCCAGAGGCTGAGGGACAGGGTCAGGTGGAGGAGGCAGGAGGCACCAGGATGGCCGGGGTCGGTCCCAGCGCTGGCTGCCCTGAGCCTCACGTCCACTAGCCCGTCAGTCCAGCCCTCACCCTGCTCCCGGTTCATGTGCTCCGGCTCCTCTTCCACCCTCTCCAGTCCCTTTAGGTAGCTCTGTAGGAGTCTGACAGAAAAGTGGAAAATCAGTCCATGAGAGGCCAGTCCGCAGCCCCAGGCCTAATTCTTAGCCCCCAGCCCAGCCTACTCACCGGAGCTGCTCCTGGCCTGGCTGGAAGGGGTTGGGTGGGGGCTGCTGCACTTCAGGGTCCAGCCTGGAGGAGGGAGGAGGGACCAGGCTTGCAAGAGCCTCCCTGAGGGCCCAGCCTACCAGCCTTCTGCTCCCAAGCTCCTGGCAGAGTTGTCTCCCCAGACCCAAAGGGAGTTGCTCTCCCAAATTCACCAAAACCTTGTGGGGAGGAGGTCTCCTCAGAAGCAGAACCTCACTCCCTCAGACCCTGTTTACAGAGACCTAACTTAGATGGTAAGTAAGTGAAAACCCCCATAAAACACCTGGGAAGATAGAGGCCAGATGAGGCCACACCTCGACGACACAAGCTGGAGACCAGGAAAACAGCGCAGCCAGGAGCAGGACAACGTAGGTGGTGGCAACAATTCTACTTTGATGCTGGGGCCAAGGGGCAGGTCTCTGGCTAAGCTCAGAGGCATCACCCACTTTGATACAGACCCCATTTACACCACAACACAAACTGGCCTCTTTTTTCCCCTCCAAACTGAGGGCATATATGTTGGTTTTGGAGTTTCAATCTGCTTAGGGCCTCCGTCAGGCTGGTGTGGCTCAATGGACTGAGTGGTCCTGGTTTGATTCCCCGTCAGGGCACATGCTTGGGTAGCAGGTTTCCGGCTGGATCTCCAGGAGGGGGCGTGCAGGAGGCAGCCGATCTGTTACTCACATCGATGTTTCTCTCTCTCTTTCCCTTCCACTCTCTCTAAAAAAATCAATAAAATATATTAAAAAAAATAAAGTTCAAGATTTGCTTTCAGTCCTGAACAAGGCTACCTGTTTGCCCAAGTCATTCTAGAACTCTGACACCAGAGAGCCGATCCTGTGTCTGTCCCCCACCCCACCCAGCATACACGCTGCATAGGTACAAGAAAGGTATTCAAAGAGAGTGGAGATGATTTGCTAATGACCTCTATTTCTTTGGCATTCCTACTCTCAGGTCCTTTTTTTTTTTTTTTTTTGGAGAGAGAGAGAATGGGAGAGGGAGAGAGAATCATCTATGAGAGAACATCAATCGGCTGCTTCCTGCACGCCCCCTAGTGGGGATTAAGTCCGCAACCTCAGCATGTGCCCTGATGGAATCCAACAGTGACCTCTTGGTGCATGGGACGAAGCTCAGTCCACGGGGCCACACTGGCCAGGCCCACTCTCAGGTCTTGATAAGAGGACTGCAGCCTCTTCCCTGGCCCATAGCTTCTTCCCTGTGCTTCACATCTCATTGGAACTGAGCTCCCGGCTCCAAAGGAGTCCAGCAGACACGTATTCCATGCCCACTTTGTGTAGAGCATTCTAACAGGCTCAAGGCAGAAAAGTTGAGGTGAGTGGGCAGGGATACAGAGGTCAGGTAGCATATATCCCAGAGTCCTTCCACCCAAGGGTCCTATCACACCCTGGGATTCTCCAGAGACTCCCCTTGCTCCCGGCCCAGGGTCCTGACCTCTGAATCCTGTTACCTTGTGGTTCCATCCTTGGGAGCAGCCTGACTCAGGGGCAGCAGCAGCAGCACTAACATTCTCATCACCAAAGGTAACATTCTTCCTGGTACTGGAACAGGTAACATCTTCCTAGGAGCAGAGTTAGGGAGTCGGGGGGAGGGAGGGCCTTCCACAGAGTGGAGGATTGGTGGGTTACAGGGAACATCTTCGCTCCCTGCCCCCCAGGTAACAGGGCACAGGGACATCGATGATCCCCAGTGCAACTCTGCTTAAAATAAATTTGCCTCCAGATCCAGTGTGTCGAGTGTCCAAAGGCCTGCTCTGGAAGTGGCGCTGTGCGGGAGCCCCTCCCCACGCCCCACTCCTCTTGCCCTGCAGCCCCGGTGCTGCGAGGAATGCAGTTTAAATACATCTGATTCAGTGCAGTCCACTCGCTTTACAGATGAAAACTGGCTCAGAGAGGTTAAGAAAAGGGCCAAATTAGAAACACAGAGATCACAAAAAGACCAAGACTTAAACAGGGAGGCAGATTGTTAGTTTGTATTTACGAAAACCTCACCAAAGAACAAATCAAAAGAAGCACAGACTCCTTGAAACAGGTCTAAACTCAGGTAGGGATTGAAAACACAACAAACCAGGGTCAAACCAACAGTGGCCCAGGAACAGGTATTTACTAAGTGCAAGTGGGAATCAGATCCCAGTATGAAGGAAAAAGCAAAAACTTTCCCCTTAGACTTACACAACAAAACCACTGGCAACAAAACCACTCAATTATATAAAAACAGTCAAATAGAGAGAGGTTCAATCAAAAACACAGAGCATGGACCTTTCTGATCAGTTCCAAGTGTGTGTACGTAGCATGTGAGTTCCCGAGGAAGCAGTGCCCATCAAAGCCAAGGCCTGAGACCCCACGCCTATGTCTAGGTAGACAAATCACTGGGTGCCTGGTCTAGGCAGAGAATGAGGAACCCTCTGAAACGATGCCCTACACACTGGCTGGCACTGACTTTTTCTGAAGAAAGGTTTATAGCCTTCAGCAGATTTTCAAAGAGTTCCATGACCCCGAGAAGCTTCAGAACCACTGCAAGGGTTGACATGAGCTTCGTAAGAGATGCAGAAGAGCAGGTGAGCAGGTTAACAGGAAGATACATGGGGGACCTGGCTGTAGCTGGGCCAGCAGAGATGCCCTGAGGAAGCAGAAGCAAAACAGGGAAGTCCACATGAGGGTGAAGCTACCGAAAATCCTACAAACTGCTTCCAGTTTTCTATGTATATGTTGACCCCAAAGGATATAGTGAGTCTACATAGTTGGTCCACAACCCTCAGTGGCCAGATGGGTTCTGAAGCCACAGCTGCCTCAAAGGTGTTCACAAACATCAGCTGGCAACATAGGTCCTTGTGCTTTGTTGTACCAAGGAGAGAAGACAAGGTCTTGGGCCCCTGCAAGGGAGGCAGCTGGAACTGAGGTCTCTTTACTAACTGGGGACCCTTAGAGGTCCCACCACAGTGGATACCCCTCAGTAGAAGAGTGGACTAGAGAAACATTCAGGCCTCCATGTCTGGGAGTATGCTAGTAAATGTCCAGTGAAAGTAATTCTAGTGCTGGATAAAAATAGAAAGCATCTTTTCAAATGCAATGAGTTGGCAAGAAAGTAAGACATTCTCAGTACAAAAGCAGTGAAACCAGTAATCCTAAGGAAAAGTCAGTTTGTGGTCAGCTTTTGCCTTAAGAGCATTTGTCAAACCAACCCCTGGTGAACTTGAGTTATCAGTTTTAGTGCTTTGTGCAACAGAGGAGACAAGAGAGAAAGCCTGGACCCATGCAATGTGAGGAGACTAATGGGAGATTCAAACAGCTCAACTCTCAATCTAAGGGTGAACAAAAAGTAAATTTTCTCGGAAGAAGGAAAACACAGAGTCATGCTTATTTTTACTTTGGTGCTGGGTAGAAAGGAGAAAAATATCTTCCCTGCGAATTTGTTATAAGCCTGTTCTAAGGTAGGTTCGAAGCCAAATTAATGCTACCTCTGTGGTTCAGAAACCTAGAGCAGATGGTGTATTTTGAAGTGGTACCTGGTTGACAATACCCCCAGTTGATCCACAGAAGAAAACGTACACCTTGCCCGAAAGAACACAACTCCAATCCAGGGCTCAAAGAAGTTCCATAGGTAAAGTTTCAAGGAGCATGAACTCACAGCCAGAAGTCATAAACACTGTGAATAAGAATAGCCAGCTAAACAACAGCAGGCAAAACCAGATTTGCAAAAACCAAAGGTATTGTAATTATCCCACACAGAATATTAAAAATATTTAATACATTTAAAGAATTTAAAGAGAAGCTTTAAACTATGAGAAAGGAATAAGAGCATAAAAATGACCAAGTAGATTTGAAGATGAACCAAATATAACTTATGCAAATATAAAGAAAAGATTGATTTAAAAAAATACAAGTGGGGCGCTGGCCAATTTGGCTCAGCAGTTGGAGCGCTGGCCTGCAGACCAGAGAGTCCCCAGTTTGGTTCCCACTATGGGCATGTACCCTAGTTGCAGTTTTTCCCCAGCCCCGGTTGGGGTCATGTGGGTGGCAGCCACTGGATGTGTCTCTCTCACATCGATGTTTCTGCCCCTCCCCCCCCACCGCCCTATCTGAAGATGGGTGCAAAAGTGTCCTCGGGTGAGGACAAAAAAAATAGAATGAGTGGGTTAAACAGATACAGATGATGTAAGAATTAGAACTGGAAAATAGATCTGAATAAATTATTCAGAATACAGTTTGTGGGGGAGGAACAGAATTTCCTCTACCCTCAAGGTTCTTCCAGATGGTCTAATAATCAAATAGACATGAGACAGATTAGCAAGAGAAAATAACCAAATTTAATACATACATATGTATGGGAACCCCACGTACAGGAGAGAGTCAGAGACCTCACATGCACAGGAGGTTCAGAGACAGGAAGGGGGATCAGGTATGTAAGACATTCTGAGCTAGGGAGGAAGATAATGCACCTTGGGGACTTAAAAGGGTCATTGCAGTATAAGAAAAGTAGATGTTTGGTAAATAGAAGTTTGTCATGCCCTATAGATTGGTCAGAAGACATTATCTCTGATAATTTCCTATTATAGGCAAGGTCCCTAATTCAAATTCTTCCAGGCAGTCAAGGAAGGGACAGAAGTTTCTCCTGAGCCACAGCTAAAGTTGCCCTTAGCTCAAAACAATCTGCATACCACAGAAGCATGTCTTGGGGTAACTAGCCCTGAACCCCCACAAGTTCATTGAGTCAAAGACATAGAAAATATTTCCAAAAGCTTAAGTGGCAAGGAGGGTGGAGGAGATAATAGAGAAAATTAGAAGCAATATTTGAAGAAATAACAGTTGAGATTTTCCCAGTATGTTGCAAAACACTAATATTCCAATCAGGAAGCCTAACAATTCCAGGCAGATGAAATAAACAGAAATATAAATGAACAAAGAAAGAAAGAAACAGAAATACATAACTAAAACTTTTGTGAAATTAGAGAACACCAAGAAAAAGAAATGGTCTTTAAAGCAGTCAGAAAAAAAAGACAAATCACCTAAAAAGGAAGAGTAATTTGACTGACGGCTGATTTTCAAGAGTTACAGTGATGCCAGAGTACAGTAGTGAAGTTTTTTTTGTTTTTGTTTTTGTTTTTTATCCTCACCCGAGGACACTTTCCCATTTTTTGTTCAGGTAGAGTGGGAGGGAGAGAGAGGAACAGAGAGAGAGAGAGAAACATCGATGTGAAAGGAACACATCGAGTGGCTGCCACCCGCAAACTGCAACCGAGGTATGCGCCCTTAGCGGGAACCGAACCCGGGTCTCTCAGGACCGCAGGTCGACGCTCTAACCGCTGAGCCAAACCGGCCAGGGCCAGTAGTGAGGTTTTTAAATTTGTTTCAAGGGGGAGAAATTGCCATTCTAAAATTCTATTCTCAGCAAAATTATCTTTCAGGAATTAGGTGAAACAAAAATAATTTTAGATAAACAAATTAGAGAACTTACCAGCAACATCCCTTTATTAAAGGAAATTCGAAGGGATCTATTTTAAGAAAAAGAAAAATGACCCTATTAATGTCCCAAGGGTTTAAAGTGCAGGAAAAAATGGTGAGGAAAAAAATCAGAAAGTGTGTGAGAAAATATAAACAAATATAGACTATTACACTATGATAATTATGTTAATATATGGGGCAAAAAAGGTGGATTGCACTACAATATTAGACTACAATAAGATATAAGGTGAGGATGGTTGTTTGGGAAGAGAAATGACATACTGCTCAACTTTGTAAATATAGGTGTACAAATATTAAGGATAGCAACTAAAAATAGAAATGGAATGCATGACCTCAAACCAGTACAGAATAAAATGAATGGAATTTTTTAAAAAATTACTTCAAAGGGAGACAGGAAAAGGGGAAAAAAAGAAACTAAAAAGTGAAAAAGGAAGACAAAAGAAAGCACAAAATAATATGGTAAAAGAGATCCAAATATATCAGTAATCATAATATAAATTGTATGAACTCATCAGTTAAGAAATAGAGATTATCAAAATGTATATAAAACAAAATACAGTTATATGCAATTGTCAAGAGATTAAACTAAAAAAATAAAGACACAGAAAGGTTGAAAGCAAAAAAGAAAGAAAGAAAGAAAGAAAGAAAGAAAGAAAGAAAGAAAGAAAGAAAGAAAGAAAACATAAAGCAATACTAGACAAAGAAAGCTGGTATAGCTTTAATGACATTATTAGACTGGACTTTAGGGTGAAAAATGTTATTTAGATAAAAAGAGTATCATTAAAATGCACAAAACTTGAATCCCCTAGGAAGATATAGTTCTGAACTGGTATGTAACTAATAACAGCTTTAAAATATCTAAAAAAAAAAATTGGTGTAACAGTACACACCTATTAGAATGGTCAAAATCCACAACACCAAATGCTAGCACGGATATGAGAACTGTCATTCACTGCTGGTGGGAGTGCAAAATGGTAAAGCCACTTTGGAAGCCACTTAGGTAGTTTTGTACAAAACTAAACATATTTTTACCATATAACCCAGCAATTACACTCCTTGGCATTTACCCTAAGGAGTTAAAAGCTTATGTCTACACAAA